CCTGGGCGCAGGTGCTCCCGGGGCTGCGTCCTCAAGCCCCGACCCCTTGGTCCACGGTGCTGTTCTCTCGTCGCTGGAGAGTTTGAAGTAAATCACACCCGTGTGGCGCAAGGATTAGACAGGGCTGTTAGCGCACCTGCCAGACGGATCAGAACTCGTTTGAGCGGGCGTTCCGTCACGCACGAGGGCACCCGAGGCCCGGGTGGGCCGTGCTCCCGAGTGCTGACCACTCGGTCCCCCCCGAGGGCCCGGGCGGGTTTTTATGCCAAGACGGCGAGGCCGAGCGGAGGTGTCGGGCTGTTGCAGCAAGACTGAAGGAAGCAGCCCGCACGCCTTCGCACGGGGTCTTGCCTCCGACGCCCCCTCTCCAGAGGCTTCCGGCCCCTGACATCATAGCAGACGGTGTGGGCATTCGGGCTCGCCTGTCGTGTGGGCGTACGTTAGACCTGAAGGGGGCATCGGGGGCGCGCTCGCCAAGCAGCTGCCGACGGTTCTTTCCACCGAGCGTGGAGAGCGCGGTTCTGGCCTCTGGCCGCCGGCGCTAACCAGATCTGCTGGCTCGGGCGGTGAATGGTTCCCGGCTCGGCAGGGGGTGTCAGGTACCCCCAGGGGGGCTCCTGGACGGTGGGTCGATCCCGCCTCGGGGTCGGAGCTGCCGGGTGGGCGGTGGCTGCCCGGAGCTCGTGTGTGGTCGTGCCTGGGGTGTGTGTGTTCGGGAGACACCTGGCGTGCGTTCCCGATGGGTGGCCGGGCTGGAGGGACGGCGGGCACCGGCCCATCTGTGGGCAGAGCAGCTCAGTGTGCGCCGAACAGAGGTGTGTGGGGCGCCTTGGGGTGTCAGCCAGCATGCTTGTGAGAACCCCGCGGGCACCCCGTGGGAGAGCGTGCGTCCGCGCCAGGCCGCTGCTCTATGTCAGTGGGATCGGCCACTCCTCCGTTCTGAGCCCTTGTCCTGGAACAACCAGGACTCTGCGGACACCAGAGTCACACTCGGCCTGGGGAGGTGACTGTGTCCCAGGGCGATCGGCCCCGGGCAGCCTGGGGAGGGCGACCCCCATCCCTGACCCTCCGTTGTCCCAGAGCGTGGTGACTTCGGCCGCCACCGCTTCCGGCCACGTGGAGGGGCTGGGATTCGTGGCTCTGAGCCATGGTCTGTGTGGAGCAGCTGTGATGAGTCACGGTGAGCCGCAGAGGGAGCCCCTCGCATCCCTGGGGAAGGTGGGCCCGGCCTGGGGGTGCCAGGTGGGGATGAAATGTCCCTCCGGAGCCAGCTGCAGGACGAGTCTGTTCACTGGGGCGGGAGGAAGGCCCCCAGAGAGAGGGCTGTGGTCGGGGGGCTGGCCTGCCCCTGCAGTGGCTCGGGGGCATCCGGGGCCCTGTGCACAGACCCCAGCACTCACAGTTGGCGGGGCCGCTCCTTCCTGCCGGGTGACCGCGGGGGCTGGCCTGGGCTGGATGGAGCCCTCAGGATGGAGCGCCCCGTACTGCAGCTTCAGGCTTGGGTTCCCCCGGCATTTATGAAGTTTTGAGAACCAGACCGGCGTGAGCCCGGACCCCCCTTCTCTGCGTGTCACCCTGTCCTCCTGGAGAGATGGGGGCGCTGGGGGCCCCGCCCCACCCTGGAGGTGTCTCCTCTGCGGTCCGCGTGGGTCAGCGGGGTCAGCGCAGGTGAGGGCTCACAGGGTGGGGAGACGCACACGGCATGTCCTTGGTCGGGCCCCCCCGAGAGGTCAGAGACCCCACGCAGCTGCAGGAGGAGACCCTGGGGCTGAAGGTCCGTTTGCTGCTGAAAGCAAACAACAGTTTTCCCATTTCTCCAGAATTCTTGCCGGCTGGCTACAGATGCTGTGGGCCCGGAGGCCAGGCCTGAGTCTGGGCCCCGGTTCGCACCAGCCAGCCCCAGCATGTTTGTCAACACCGAACACTCCCCAGACGGGCTATTTACATTTTCTCCTGTATTTATCAGACCGTTTCCTTGTAGATAGTGCAAAGGTAAACAACCCCAGCCTCTGCCCAGAGGGCACATTTCCTGGGGGCTCCTGGAGCTTGAGTTTTCCTTTGTGGGAGCGTCTCTCTGGGCAGCCATACAGAACCTCCACTGGGGCATTCTCCTGCACCGCTGGTCTGGACCCAGCCCGAGCGGCTGCTTCTCGTTGACCTTTCTGATGCACCAGATGTTTGAAGCCCATCTTTGCCCTAGAAAAGTCGTTGTCATGAGCGTGGCGGCCTCTGAGAGCCCCCGGCCTCCAGCCTCCCCTCCCTGCTGGGCAGGCACAGCGCAGGGACCAGCCGCCCACACTCCGCTTGTCTGAGAACAGAATCCAGCCCGCTTCCGGCCTTGGGCCCCTGGGGACCCTGGAAAGGAGCCCCTGCCCTGCTGTGGCCGGGGGGACGGGGGGCAGTTGGCGAGGATCCTCTCCTGCGAGCCCTCCCCGTGGCCCCCGCGTCCACTTTCCCCCTTGGGCAGGGAAGGCCCCCATGTAAAGGTGGGAAATGACAGGGCCTCTGCCCGCCCGCCCTTCCCCAATAGTGCCGCGTGCCCAGAAGGGGTGCTTCCACTCTGCACATCAGCGCATCACCCCGGAGGCCTGAGCCGCACCCGGGGACCCAGTGCACCCCCAGCCCTGGGGCTGCAGTGCCGCAGCCTGGGCTCAGATCTCCCCCGTGGTGGTTCCGGGGCGGGTCTCAAATGAGCATCCAGGACGTGGGATGACCTGGCTCGGGGATTTAAATCCCGGGGCCTCACCCCCCTGTCCCCCTGCCATCTCTCCCTCCTCCCCACCACGTCCCCCTCGCTCTTTAAATCCTAGCCCGCACATCACCATTTGGCATACCACAGACGGTAAGGACCGGCTACTTCTCTTGTGAAAACAAAAAGGTTTTAAGTTGAAACATAGAGAATTGAGACAAAGGGAAAATCCTCTCCGTGGGGCGTTTTTAGAAGCTAGGAAAACGGGGCCACAGAACTCCATCCTGCAGACCTCCTCCTCCAAAAGCAAGTTCACGTGTGTTGGTCTGACGACCGAGCCCGTGCCCTTCCCGAGCGCAGGTCCCACGGGAGCACCAAAGCGGCAGTGACGTTTGCAGCCCGTCTGCAGGGTTGGGGTCCGTCGGAGGGAGGGAGGCCGGCCGGCCTGTGCCCAGCCCACCCAACAGCTGGCCCTCGGCCTTCCGCTCTCCACTCCAGGTCAAGTGCTATCACAAGAAGTACCGCTCGGCCACCCGCGATGTGATTTTCCGCCTGCAGTTTCACACGGGGGCCGTTCAGGGCTACGGACTCATGTTCGGGAAGGAGGATCTGGACAACGCGAGCCAAGGTGAGGGCCGGCCGGCAGCGGCGGGGACACAGGGACGCGGGTCCTTGTTCCTTTCCGCCCCTGTTCGCCCCACGCCCCATACGGCGAACCTGCTCACAGCTCGGTACCGGTTTTCCAGAACGCTGAGCCGCGGTCCAGAGAACATTCTGGAGAAGTGGTGGAACTTGGCCACTGCAGGGGCACGGTGCTGTCCCGCGGGGTTGGAAGCATGACGTTCATCCGTGCTTTTTTGCTGCTGCCTCTCTGAACTTGCCGATGTGTGATTTCTTTCTCAGATGACCGTTTTCCTGATAATGGCAAGATTGAGTTGCTTTTCTCCGCCACTCCCGAGAAGATTCAAGGTAGGCAGCCTGCCGAATGCCGGGGCCCGGTGCTCATGGTGGGGTGGTGGGTCCCGTGGGGGCCCCGTCCAGTCCCCCGCCTTTGTGCATGTTGGGAAATTGTCAGAAGAGTTATTTCAATAACAGGCTATCTTTCAGGGGGTGGGGGTGGCTTGGAGACAGCAGGGCCCGGTTGCATCAGTAAGACCCCAGAAATGGCTAGACTTTTGCCCGAGGAAGGGCCCAGCCCCTCCGTCCCTGGATGTCTGTCCTTCAGTCCGGGGATCATGCTGAATGTTTACTTCTCCCCCGACAAAGAATCGAATGTTTTTGAAGAGGATTAGAAGCACAGTCGACTGCAAATATGTATGTGCAAAACAGATTCTCCTTTCTTCTAAAAATACACCGAAAGAGAAATCTGCCCTTTTATCGTCAAGGCGAATGGTTCTTTTTTACCGCGAGGTCCATATGCATGAACGTTTCCTTCAGGCTTTCATTGCTGGGGAAAGTAGTCCCCTTCCCTCTGAGGTCAGTGCCCTGATTCAGTTAACGGTTAAGGGCAAGGCTTATGAGGTCAGGGCCCCACTAGCTTTCCCAGAGCGTCGGCAGGTGGGCGCGTGGGTCTGGGAGCCCAGAGCGGCCGGGGCGCCCACGTCCCCTCTGCTTCCTGCCAAGCCGACTCTGGTCTCCTGGGGGGCGCAGACATGTGGGTCTTGGCGCTGGTGCATGCGGCCTGCTTGGGCTGTGACCGACACCTCCTCCCACGCAGGGTGTGAACACTTGCGCAATGACCACGGCGTGATCGTGGACTTCAACACCGCAGACCCTCTCATCCGCTGGGACTCGTACGAGAGCCTGAGTGCCGGTGGAGAAGGTATGTCCGGCGGCTGCCGCCCGGGGCAGGGGAGGGGTGGAGAAGGCGGCCTGCTCGCGGTCGGCTTGGATGCCAGAAACCCTGCCTTCTTTCGGGGCTCAGAGCCCCCCTCCCAGCGCTGTGGGTTTAGGGGAGCCTGTGAGAAGCAGGCTCGGAATTTGGGTGGTGCGGCTCGTGCTTGTCTGCATGTTGCCAAGGACCGTTTTCCGCCTTCTTCCCCGGCTTCCCGATCGTGTGCGGAGCACCGAGCGTCTGTTCCCAGGTGGCCTCCCAGCTGTCCTGGGTCCCTGGGCAGCGGGTGCTTTGGTTTTGTAGAGGTTGCTATGATCCTCATCTGGTTTTATGGGCTCCTCGGACCGCCTCACCTAACATGTTCGCCCACGGGACAAACACCTCGGGCCCCGGGTACCATCATAGAAGCCACCTCACGCGGGTCCGAGGAAGGACTGGGGCCTTCTCCCTGGCCGCCAGGAAAGCTGTCAACCATCCCACGGTGGGGCCTGATTTGGGAGAGAAAACCAACAGCTCCTTGTCAAATTGGTTTCGTGCAGATGTACAAAAGCCAGAAGGTGTCGGGGAGAGAACACCACCCAAGCCCACTTCGTGGGTCACGGGGCCTGCAGGGTGTCCGGGGAGGGGCGTCTGGTGTGCATGTGGACCAGCAGTTCCTGTCCTCGTGGGGGGCAGTCACGCCTCTCCTCCCTGGCCCGGGGTCCTGGCGGGCGGCGGGGGGCCAGCTGCTCTCTCCGTAGCCTGTGGGGCGCTCCCTGTCCTGAGCAGAGAGCCGTGGGGGGCTGGCTCGGGGACACGGGTCTGAGATCACGCAGGGGGAAATAGGACTCACGTCCCAGCCTGCTGACCCCAAAGCCCCTCGGTGCAATCCTCGTTCCTGCAGCAAACACCCCTGCCCTCGCTGGTGCCCAGGCTGCATGGGGCCTGCAGAGAACAGAGTCCCGCTTGGGCAGTATGAGCAGAGAGAGGCTTGTTAGAGGCACGGGGTGCCGGGCAGGCGTCAGCGACTCCTGCACTGGGCGGGCCCGTCTGGGGTGCTGCTCCCTGGAATGGGCGGGGCAGCCCCATGCATGCGGTGGGGAGTGGGGACAGGGACCAGTCAGCAGATCTCCCCACTGTGCTTCTCCACCCCCTGTCGGTCTTGTTCTTTATTAACCTGTGCCTTGCTGGACTGGGTGTGCGAGCACGCCTCCCAGCCTGTCCTAAGGTGCCGCAACTCAGGGATAGGCTTCTCCGCCGAAGCAGGTGGGTGGCGGCAGCGGGCGGCCTGCAGCGTCCTGTCGGGAGGCCTGGCCCGGGAGCAGTGGGGGGCATTGCCTGCCTTGTGGGACCGCCATCCCCCCGTTCTCCGTGACACCGAATTAGCAAACATTGGCCTTTGCTCTCGGGGCGGGGGGCATACGGGGTCGGGGTCTTGTGAGCCTCGAGTCACAGCATTTTTGTAAGCCCATCAGTAGATAACTTCATCACACCTGTGGTTCTGTCTCAAGACACCAGATTTAATCTGTCTTGTTGATGCTGCGAGCCCACGGCCGACAGCACTGAACTCATGTTGAGCAAAGTGTCTCTGATGCACGTATTTTCCCCATAAGGCACCCACGGCCTTCTCCTGCTTAGACACCGGACAGCCCTTCAGGACTGCCCTTGGGGGTCATTTTAAACAGCAGAAATACCAACAAAAAGCACAGAAATGCAAAGCCTGTGACATGCAATAGGACTGGAGGCTGGAGGATGCTTATTTGTGGTGTGGGAGCTGGGAACGTACGTGCTCATGGGACGGCTCCGAGTCGGGGCCCCTCTGCGCACCTCACTGAGTGACCACCAAAATGCCACGAGCTGATTTGGGGTTAGAGATAACAATTCTGGGTGAGTAGGTGAATTAGCAGACATGGATTCAAAATGACGGTGATCGACTCTACTTGGTGTTTTTGTGTTTTTGAAATCTGTCTCCTTTCTTCCGAGGCTCCTGTGGGGCCGTGCCCTTTGGGCCTGGTGACCGGGACCGTCCCATCCAGGGGGAGTGTGGGTCACCCAGGTGCACCTCCTGCCTCTCCACGCGAGCTGTGTGGCCTTGAACAAGTCCCTTGACCTCTCTGTGCCCTTCCCTGTTCTGCACGGGGAGTAGTCTTTGAGCCAGAGCTGCTGGTCACAGGGCCCCGTAATGGTGTTGTCACCTCCTCCGGAGCCCGGAGCTTGGGGAGGCGCTGGCCTGGCACGGGGTCGGTGAAGGTCTGTGGAGCCCCGAGGCGGCTGTGGGAGGGCACGTGGGCCCCATTTTCCCTGCGCTGTTGGACAGTCACCGCGGCAGGATGAAACCGGGGCACACCAGGGAGGACCTGGGGTGGCGGGCTGCGGTGCCCCAGACCCTGGTGGCTTTTCTGTCACTGTCACACTGATGTCGCTCAGCCGTACGCGGGTGCACCATCCCCAAATGTCACCAAGTGTCACGTGTAGAGGACTGCCCTGGGAGGACTCCCTGAGTTTGGAGCGTCCCCCCGCCCCCGGGGCCGGTGACGGCGGATCTCGGTGCCGACAGCCGCAAGGGCCTCTGTGCGGGCGGGGGCGGGGGGACCTGCGGTCCTGCTGCCCTGTCCACAGGGTGGGTGGGGGGGTCTCTGCTTGTTCCTGAGCCTCCCTTTCCCGACCTGTAAAATGGCCCATTTCAGTGAGATCACCCCAGAGATCCCCTCCCTCTCTGCACGTTCGTTCCTATCATCGCGCACATGATCCGCCTGCCCTAGAGGTCGTGTCCCTGTGCGGGCCAGGCTTGCGCTCCGGGAGGAGCTCGGGGAGAGGAGGACGAGCAGGCCTTCCGGTGAGGGAGGCGTGTGTGGGTGTGTGTGTATGTGTCCGTGTGTGTGCGTGTGTCTGCACACAATACACCTTACGCGCGTGTGTACGTGTCTGCGAGCTGTGGGTGGGTGTGGCCCTCTCTGTGGCCCCACCTGCGTCCCCGAGCAGTCTCCATAGGAGGCCCCAGGTGCCGGAACTGGAGTGCGGGCCGGGAAGTAGGAAAGTATGCGAGAGAAGCTGCCACTCAGCCTGTCCTTGGTGAGAGCCACAGGGGAGGAGGCTCTTGCAGGCAGGGGTGCGGGAGGGCGTGGGGGGCCGCACGCCCTGGGACCATGCTGGAGCAGCAGACACCGGGGAAGGGGAGGGGAGGCCTGTCCCATCAGGAAGGGTTGTCGTGCCGAGACTGCTTTCCTCCGGATGACCGGCGACCTGGCTGGGGGGCCCGGGAAGACGACGCGGGGGTGTCCTGAGAGCCATCGGGATCTGCAAGGGGGGTGGGGGCGACAGCAAGAACAGATGGGGCCTGACTCAGGGTGATTCTGGGTGGTCGGTGGTAGACAAGTAAGACTGCCCCAGATTCGATCCTGGGGTGAGGGGCAGGGAAGCTTCCAGCGCAGCCCACGGTGACACGAAGCCTTGCCATGCACCTTGACCTCCAAGTTCCTGGCCTTGACCCACCGGTGAGTTTCGGGCCACAGACAGAACGTTGCTGATCTGCGGGCGCACAGATGGGGACGCCGCACCCCGGGCTTGGGCTCTGCTGCCGTTTTCCAAGGGCTCATCCGCAGTGCCCCCCGGCTCGGACATGGCCCCCAGGCGACCACAGTGACTGCGAGAAGATGGCGGGAGAGGATTCGGATGCCCGGCACCTTTCCAGTGCCGTGTGGTCCTGTTGCCCTTGCATGCAGCCTGGGAGGGCTGCTGGGCGGGAGGCGTGTGGCCACGGGGTGTGCGGAGCTGGCCAGGGAGCACTGTGGTCCACGTTCCCCATCTGGTGGCTCAGAAACTGTGGTTTGGTTCTCATGTTTGGAAACCCAAGCAAGCTTTGGATCTTCAACCCCTTAGCAGAAGGAGGGTCTGCTGGAATCTGGCAGATGAGTCGGCAGGCCTGACTCTGCTCCGTGCCAGGCTGGGGGCTCCTGCCCGGCCCCGCATCCTTCCCTGGAGTGCGGTGTTGGGACTGTCACTGGGCCCGCTGACCTCTCAAAGGACGGCCAGGACATCTGCTACGGGGAAAGGGCAAGCAACACTTCGGATGTCGACTGCCCAGACTCTCAGGTTGGATTCTGGCCCATTGAAGGCAGGCGTGTGTGGTCCTGGGTTTTTGCGTGGGAATTAACGTCGAGCTGGGAAATGAAGGTGGAGTCATTCAGCTCTCAAACGTCAAACACAAAAACGCTGATAATTAAAGAAACACACCGGCCTTGGAAAAAACCTGGAAAGTGGGAGCGACCCTGCCCCGTGTGTGGCATGGTGACGGCTTTGTCCCCTGTCCCTCTTCCGGAAACTCTCGCAGACACGTTGTTACCACATCACGTCCCATCGATTCCTGCATGCCTTCCCTTCCACGCGCTTCGGCTGCGTGAAGGAAGCGCACATCAGGCCCGGAGGCCGTCCTTCTGGGTCCTCCGCGGGGAGACCCGGTCTCTGTCCCGCCAGTAATAGGAAGGGCGCCCCTTTCTCATGTGGCTTCCATGCAGGGCCTGTGGGGGCATGTCTGCCACGTCAGGGACGTTGCAGCGAGCCCACCCACGTGGGGAAAGCGTGCCGGGTCTCACTCAGGATTTGGTAAGCGGGACAAGAGCCTGAGTGGGGTGGGGCTGGGGTGCACACGTGTGTTCGCCTGCCCCACCCCCAGCTTGTGGGCGTCCTCACGCCCCTCCCCTGCTCTGCCCCAGGTAATGCCAGGTAACCGGCCATGCGTGATTCTTCTTGGCCGTGGCGGTGATGGGAGGGGGAAGTGAGGGTGTCCCTGGGGACAGGCTGCGTGTCCTGTAGCTCTAGGCTCTCCAGCAGGCACCTGCCCACCCATTCATCCCCCTGCCGGGACCCTCTCTACCCACTGTTCCTCTACCTGCCTTCTGGATCTGTCATGTTGGGGTGAAGTCCTACTTGGAGACCAGGTTCTGCCTTTAACAGTTGGAAGCCACAGTGCAGAGTTAGAATCATGTTTAAATTTCAACAAACAA